CCTCCCTCTTCTTCTCAAGAATTGTCTTGGACATTTGCTCATCAGTCTATGAAATAATATCACATAGCACTTATTGATTTTGTGCAAATAGAACTTGACATTTAGTTCTTAACAAAAATAATATCCTGCAAAAGGAATTTCAAGCCATTGTCACCAGTATAGGGGGGTGTTGGGACAAGTGAGATAAGACCATCTTGATCCATTAACAAAATGTCCCCATCTTCTACAGCAACATAAAGCCAATCTTATAACTTTCTTCTTGAAATAGATAAAGAGTTGACACAAAGTTAAAGTTTCAGCAGCTCAGGAAGCACCAAAGAACAGAGGATGGTGCAGGTCCAGGACTGAAGAGAGGATTCACCGAAGCATTCTTAAACTAATGATCCAAAAAGCCAAAATGAAAGTTTTTCCAGAGTTTGATGACTTACTGAGGTATTGTTTACAAATATTTAGTTATTCTCATACTAAAGCCATTGCTGTTGGATTAGTTCTAACGTATAGTGACCCTCCAAAGAGTTTCTGAGGCTATATATCTTTGTAGGAGGAGACTACCCATCTTTCTCTCAAGAAGCAGATGGTGGATTGAACCGCTGAACTTTTGGTTATCACTGCTGCATTGCAAAGCACTCCACCAACAGAGGCATTTTGTTATTCCTGTAAGTGCCTCTTATATATACCATAACTACACTTTTCGGGTACAGTGGATTAAACATTGGACTGTTAACTGAAAAGTTGGCAATTTGAACACACCAGCAGCTCCCTGGTAGAGAGATAAGACCTTTTGCTTCTGCAAAGAGTTGGACCCTCAGAAACACAATGAACACAATGGTTCAACATTTGTAGAAAGCCACCAAATGGCAGGTTGTATATTTCTTTTAATTTTTGAACCATACTACATGTAAAATGGAATTTATTGAAAATTTTTATCTTACATTCACAGGGCTCAGATCTTTTGTTCATTAGGGTTGCTATGAATTGTACTCAACTCCATTGCACCTAACAACAACATTTTAAAATGTTTTACTTTAATTGGTCATAAGCAAAAATCAGAGCTCTGGTGGCATAGACCAGAGTGTAATGCAACTAACCAGACGTACCACATCTCCTGTGGCTAAAGTCCATCAGCTACTTTGTGGGAGAAAGATAAATAGTCTTCTCTTAATGTCACTGTCTCAGAGATGGAAGAAGGTCACTGTGAATTGGAATTGACTTGATGTTGTTGTTGTGTACTGTCAGATCAGAATCGGTCATAGCTGACCCTCTGGTGGGTTTTCAGAGACAGTTAATCACACAGGAGGTTGCCCGTCCTTCTCCCACAGAGCAGCTGGTGCATTTGAACTGGATGCTTTTGGGATTGCAGCACAGCTTCTAACCACTAGGCAACCAGAGCTCCTGAATTTATATTAGTGAGTGATTTCTGAAATAATATTCATGAAATAGCAATATCATATTATTTGCTACTACAAAATTAATGTAAACATGTAGTGAACATTTCTAGCACCTATGTTTTCTCCAGCAATAAAAACCAAGCCCATTTTGGTCAAATCAATTTTAGACTTAAAATAGTGACCCTCGATGGGGTTTCTGAGGCTGTAAATTTTTGCTCCATGTGAACCACTACAACAGCAGAGCTTCGCCATACAAGTGCAATGTGTGTATGTGTGTGTCTACCGTAAGGTTGAAACTGACCTATAGCTGAGCCTCCCATCAGTTTTCAGAGGCAGTAGATTGTGCTGGAGGAGGAATAACAGAAGTGATAGTCCTTCTCTTTGTAAGCAAATGAAACATGTTCAAAAAGCTTTTCGTAAAATGTTTTAATGCGCCTTCATAAGGTTACTACTCATTATTGCTGTGTCAAGAAAGGAGTATGTGATCCTGCAAAGATATTATTAGCTGCCACCTTACCATGGACAATGACTAAGGATGACAGAAGAAGAATCGAAGTCTTTGAGTTGTGGTGCTGGAGAAGAGTATTGGACATACCATAGACTGCCAAGAAAATAAACAAGTCTGTCCTGGAGAGGGCGAAACCAGGTTGCTCTTTAGAGGCAAGAATTTTGAAACTCCATCTTGCATGCTTTGGGCATGTTGTCAGGAAGGACCAGTCGTTGGAGTAGGACATTATGCTTGGAATGCATTCTTCAATTTATTTTTTCTTTCAGATTAGAGTTGTACTAACATCTGGTTCAAAATCAAGAAAAGAGTGTATCTGAGCTGAGTCATTTTCCCATGCCTTTTAGCTCCCCAACTAAAACAAGCTTGGTAGCAGGAGTGGCATCCACTTTCATAATAGCTTACCTCTGGAAATCCTATGAACCTTGAGAAAGGACAAAAGTTATACAGGAGGTGTCCAGGACTTTCGTTCATTATGCTTGGAAGGGTAGAGAGTCAGCACAGGAGTGGATGAGAGGGGCCACTCGGTGACTGTTGCAATGGGATCAGGCGTGTCAGAGACAGTGAGGTTGTCTCAGGGTAAGGCAACGTTCAGAGTAATTTTTGATAGGGTCGCTATGAGTTGTCATCAACTTGATGGCACTAACAACAACAACAACATCACTGCTTTGTCTCAGATGTAGAAGGAAGAGCCAAGAATGAGGAATGTCCTCTCTGGAGCAGACGAAAAGATAAAAGCATGAGTAAGATGGGTTCAATAATGTATACTGCACTGAAGCAGAGGAGGGAGAAAATTGTTTAAAAGAGATATGTGACTAGGTATTTCTGTCATCACAGGAGTCTAGAGCGATGGCTACATGGTGGAGGGGATCTGGGGGAGGGTTTGTAAAACAATGAAAGAATCTTTTCTTTTACTTTTCCATAACTTTTGACTCATGTACTTATAACTTGTTAGTTAAATTTGTGTCTTCTAGGTTGCAACACCCCCATGATACATCCTCAAAGATATGAACATGTACGGCTAAGCACAAATAATAACAGTGCATCTAAATTCCAAAATATATCTCCATAATAGTCTATGTGTTTCCTACTGCCAAAGGGGCCCTTTAGAGTAGTGAGAGAAGATCTTCACCCTGAAACCCACAGCGTCCCTTTTCAGCAGGAAGTAGCTAAGAGAATACGCCATCCCCTTTCCCTTATGAATCAGGGTGAAGTCTCTCTCAGGGAGGAGTGATAGGGAATGGCAAAGGACACACTGACAAAGGAGATTAAACAGAACTGGCTTTGACAAGCACTGTGGCAATTGGACAATTAAAACAGACATTCGGAGGGCAGGGGAAGAAGAACAAACTGGGGAAGAGGGTAGAGAGAATGGTACAGCAATGAAGGAGTGAAAACCCAAAATCCCTGTAAATGTTCATTAATACTAATAAAATTTAATAATAAAAAAAAGAAAAGATAAAAGCAAAGAACATAGTCCCTGGGAGTTTTCCTGCCAACCCTGGGTGGTCACCAGAACTGTGAACCATGAAGACCTGCATCTCTGTCTTTCCTAGGAACTGTGAACAACACAAGACTGTGTCTAGTTGTGTGTTGTAAAGAACATCAAGCACCACACATGTGTGCTTCAATAAATTGTTTTTCATTGATATTTGTGATTTTCTTGTTTACTTCTTGTTTCTCTTGATTTCCTTCAAATGCCAAGTGAGAGTCCTTTAAAAAAATATTTTTTAAAGACATTCCTTTTCAAAGGGACTTTCTTAGTCAGCCTGCCCAGAGATAACTTTTGGAAAAAGTCCTGTCTACTTTTGATAGATCATAGTAATTGAAAAGCCATACTATAAAGCTGTATTATAGAGCATAGTTTTGTTCTGAAACACATTGAGTCATCATGAATTGGAATGAACTCAAAGGCAACTGATACTGGGATAACAAGAAAGGAATTACTAGGGATTCTGGCTCCCAGTCAGTCAAGCTTTTTTCTATTTCAAAATATGTAACAAAAGGCCACTCAACTAAACAGAATGGAGATTGTCTGACTCAGGGAAGGTGAAGGATGGGAAAGGATAATTGTCCTCCATCAGGAAAAAGAATATTTGGCTCCAAGTTGGAAAAGTCTCTAAATTCTCCCACTGCTATAAGACTCTGAAGTTGTCCCTAAGGCAGGGGCTGAGTCATAGATAAGTACAGTAGTGAGGAGATCCTGGAGCAAGAAGCTCCCCATTATCAGAGTCCCTGTCAAGCAAGTTTATATTAATTTACATTTTGGTTAGGAAATTCTTGGAGGAGCCCAGTGCGAAGCTTCCCTTCCCCCAGGGCAGGGCAGTAGGCCCTATAAAGAGGCCCTCTACTCCACGACCTGCAGCCTTCCGACCTTCATTTTCACATCTACTCCGGAGAAGCTGGTGAGTCTCATTTATTTACATCATTTGCTTATTTGTTGCTCTCAAATACTTAGATTCAATCTGAAGACAGTTAATTTGGCGGGTCCAAAGGTATGAACATGAGTTTGATGTCATTTAGTAGAAATAAACTATAGAGCAAATGCAGTGATAGAATTACATTCTGTTTTAACTTGCATTCTGGTAGATAGTTTTATGCCTGTTACAAGTTTAGTTTAACTTTAAGAAGAAAATAAGGTAGTTTTTTCTTTAAAAGTCTCCATTGCTTTTTGATATTCTTTTATTTTAAAAAAATCAAAAGCATTGAACTTTTTTTTAGCAACTAGTTGCTCTCAACTCAAATATTGAGATCTCAGAACAGATGATAGAAATTATTATGAGGTTTCCCAGGATTTCAGAGCTTATGATTTCCTTTTGTGGTGATATTATTTGCCTGTAAATATCATTATTTGTGGCTTTATAACACAAGTATCTTTTTTTTTTTAAAAAAGTGAATTGAGAAAAGGAGATTTCCCCCAGAGCTGGAGAAATAATTTGCTAGAGAGAGGCAGAAAATTATAAAAAGATGTAAGCGATGAAAGGCAATCTTGGGTGTTAGAGGGATAACACCTAATGGAATTCAATAAGCTTTGACTTCTCTGTTTAAGCTCCTTGTTGTGAACACTGTCATCTCATCTCTTTCAGATCCCCAGAGAATCTAGAAAGATGTCTTACCAGCAGCAGCAGTGCAAGCAGCCCTGTCAGGCCCCACCTGTGGTGTGCCCTCCAAAGTGCCCTGAGCCATGCAAACCAGCCAACTGTCCTGAGCCATGCCCAACTCCAAAGTGTCCTGAGCCGTGCCCAACTCCAAAGTGCCCTGAGCCGTGTCCTCCTGTGCAGTGCCAGCAGAAATGTCCTCCTGTGCAACCACCTCAACCCTGCCAGCAGAAGTGTCCACCCAAGAGCAAGTGACAGCTGCAGGATCCATCCAGGCGATGAAAGGAAAATTGGCTCACTTACTTCCACAGCCCACCATAATCTCCTCTTCAAAGTCAGTCATGAATGCAGGAGTATCTCCACCCATTAGTCCCTGATATGCCTGTCATGATTCCTGATGGCTAAATGTTTTGTTTTACTGAGTAGTTATTACACTGCTGTTCTCCAGAAGGCAATTGAGAAAGTACAGTCCTCAGTTTCCCAGGACATCAGAGCGCCAGAGAAATAGCACATTCCATGGGTCTCCTTAAAAGATTCTCTTGATGTCTTTGTGTCTGTGACCTGGGAAGAAATTTTACCACTTGAACAATTGTAACGTTCCTTTCATTTTCTGAATAAAGCACAATTCTTGAGATGGTCTAAGTATCCCGTTTCTTTTCAAACCTGCTTTTGTTGGCAATACTATATCATAATTTTGTTTCTATTCTTCTTTGACTCCAAGATCCAGGAAGTAAACTTCTAAATTGTGTGTCATGCCAATGATAATTTCTATATTTATCTTTAATCCATGTTGTTTTCCTTTAATTTGTGAATAACTTACTTGACTTCTGGAGAAAACAATATTTAGATCACAAATCTATCTTAGGTGTATTGTTGTTGTGCACTGTCGAGTTGGAACTGACCCATAGCTGACCTTCTAATGGGTTATAAGAAGCAGTTGATTGCACAGGAGGAGATTGCTCATCTTTCTTCCATATAGCAGGGGGTGGATTTGAACTGTGTGCCTTTGGGTTGCCAGTGCAACTCCTAATGTCTCCAATTTTATTGTCAGAATGCTAGACTCAGAATTAAACAAGCAAACAAAAAAATTCTTCTGCCATTGAGATGATTCTCACCCATCCATCATGTACAACAGTCAAGTAGAAGTAGTTACATAGGGCCTTCTTGGCTGTCATAATTATTATTATGGGAAGAGATTCCAGATATTTCCTTCCATGTTACCAGTGGGTGAGTTCAAATCACTAACCTTTAGGTTAGTTGTTGTTTTTATTAAGTGTTGTTGAGTTAGCTCCAATTCATAGTGACCTAATAATACGCAACAGAATGAAATGTTTCTCAGTCCTGTGCCATCCTCACAGTCTTTACTATGTTTAAGCCCATTATTGTATTCACTATGTCAGTCCATTTAATTGAGAATCTTTCTTTTTTTTTTTTTTATTAACAGTCTACTTTACCATGGGAGCTCTGGTTGCCTAGTGGTAAGGAGCTGTGCTGCCAACTCAAAGGCACATGGTTTGAATCCACCAGTTGCTGTGTGGGAGAAAGATGGGCAGTCTCCTCTCATATGACTTACAGTCTCTGAAAACCCTCTTGGAGGGTCAGCTATGAGTTGGTGAGACTTGATGTCATGTAACAAAAACTGCATTGCAATGATGCGCCTTTCCTAGAGACTGATTCTTCCTGATAACATGTTCAAAATCCCACAATCTTCACAGGTTAGTAAATTGTTATGCACTGCCCTGTCAGAACCAGACTCATAGCTGACCCTCCAGAGGATTTTCTGAGGTAGTTCATTGCATGAGAGAGAGCAGATTTCCCAGTTTAGTTCAAATTATTTGTGCCACCCAGGGACTTTGACCTAGAATTAGTGTGCAAAAAGTGTCAATTTATTATTTATTTAATTTGTTAATTTATTATTGTTGTTATGTACCGTCAATCCATCTTATCTGGGGTTTTCTTCTCTTCCATTGTCCCTCTACCATTCTAAGAATGATATATTTCTCCAAAGACTGCTCCCTTCTGGAAACATGTCTAAAGTATGTGGGATGAAGTCACAATATCTTTGCTCCCCAAGGAACAGCTTAGTTTCATCCTCTCAAAGACAAATCTATTTGTTCTCTTGGAAGTCCATGAGATGAGTTCAATACTCTTCTCCAGCATCACAACTCAAAGGCATCAGTTCTTATTCTGTTATCCTTGATCATATTATAAATGATTGCAAAGACCATGGTCTGGATCAGGTGCATCTTAGTCTATAGATTGACATCATTGCTCTTCAACACTCTGGAGAGGTCCCAGACAGCAGATTTTCCCAATACAATTTGTCTTTTGAAATTACCAAAAACTCTGTGACACACATAAAGCAGTTCATAGCAATAGGCACACACATTAAAAAGGAAGAAAGAAGAACCAATGATCTAACTCAACACCTTCAGCAAATAGAACAACAATCTAATCTTCCAACATCTAGAAGAAAAGAAATTATAAGGACAAGAGCTGAAATCAATGAGATAGAAAGCAGAAAAACAATTGAAATCATCAATAAGTCCAGGAACTGATATTTTGAAAGGGTCAATAAAATGACAAACCACTGACAAACTTAACAGAAGAAAAACAAAATAGAAGATACAGATAACTCGGTTAAGAAATGACAGAGGTGACATCACAACAGAACCAGAGGAAATTAAATCGCTAATATCAGAATAACGAAGAGGCATCTTTCAAAGGTACACAGAAAAAACTGGCGGGAAGAGGCCCTTGGGGACAGGGGAACGTGCTCCTGGGCGGAAGGGAAGCCGGAAGCGGCGCACAGGGGGAAGTCACCTCAGACAGTAACGAAGAGGCATCTTTCAAAGGTACACAGAAAGGAAAACATAATCTACACAGGAGTTCTACAGGACACGTCACCTTCCCTTGGAGACAGTACAATTAAACTTAAGAGACACT